CATTTGAATAGTCCACAGCAGTCCGATCAATATTTATGTAAGCCAACGACTCTCTGCTGAAGTCAGAGGACCTGTAATGGAACCTAAGTATGCAATTTAATCTGAAGCTAACAGAAATGAGTCAGGAACAATGGTGGAGGGAAGAGCGGGAGCAGCTGCAGTGACTTCTGGAGATGAGGGGTATGTTATGCCATTACAGGATGAAACTCATTTATCTGCGAGTGGTAAAATAAGCAGCGTGTTTGGCCGACAGTCAGTCCACCATTTATTGTACAGAGGAGCAGCTCCAGCTCTCACATCCTGATGACAATACTAGCTGGGGTTTTTCTGCTCTAAAAAAAAAAAAGAAAAGCCCTTCACGTTTGAATGTGTGCCGTGTCCGAAATGTGGGAATTTTTAAAGCTGCACCGAGAGTGATTTTTATGCAATCAGGAGCACCCGGCGGGGCTGCAGAGACACAGAGGAAAAAGCGCCCCCCCCCCCCACCAACTCAGATGCCAGAGATGTGCTCTATTTGCCCCAAATTTAATTCTCGTGTCAGGTGTGTATTCCACTCCGCCCACAGAGAACGACAAATTGAAACTTCTCGTAGCAGCGGTGGGATGGCGCTCCCTCGGGAGTAAGCCGGACTCAACGGCGCTGGATTGTTTCCTCTCTCGCTGGAAAGCAGGAGCGTGCCGCATGGCTTGCTAATGTCACTTTACAGGACTTCAGTTTTTGCTTGTACAGTTACCACTCGCTAACACTGGACGCTGCCGTTGTGTGACATTGCCAAGGGCAGTGTTAAAATAGAAAATATTCCCCTTACATACGTCCCATGCTAGCCTTAAACATGTCTTGTGGAGAACTCGTGACTGAGGCCTCTGATGGATTACTGTTGCAGTGATGCAGCACAATCCGGGCTGCAGAGATATTACAATATAGAGTATACTCAGACAAATGGGTGGTGGATGAATACAGGCTTGAGGCATAAAGAGTAAATGTGCAATATGCCTTTGCAAAAGCAAACAGTAGCTCTGCTGAATGTGATGCAGAGAGGGCCGTAAAGACGAGGTGACTCACTTCAAATTTCACTCAGATAGCCCTCCAGGATGCCCTCCCACTTTAATGCAAACACAGAGAAAATGGTGAGCGTCAGAACACCATAACGCCCCCCCCCTGTAAGTACGGCACGGTAATGTGTGATTGCCTGAACTGTGAGTTTAATATTCAAGCGCAGCCCTCCCAGAAAATGTGATCATAGCATCAGGCAGAAAATAGAGCAGGACATAGGACTGAGGCGACATTACTCAAATCATTTACACCACTCTGCCAATGATGGAGCAGTTTCAAGCCCAGAGCTTTCTGCAGAGAAAATAACAATGCAGAAATACACTGAGCGGTGCACTACACTCAACCACAAGGGAGGTCAAAGCTGACGGCTAGAAAGAATTCATATTCGGGGAGCTATGAGATATGAGCTTTGTGTGCTGCCAAATTGATTTAGCTGTAAAAATTCTTTTCATTTTGTCCCATAAAGATGCTCATACTTTTACAGCTCCACTGCCTATGGAAGAAGCAGGCCTCAATGATTTGCTTACAATTTACAGCCAAGGTCATAATCAAAGCAGCTCTCCCTTTGCATGCTTAATGCTGCCTTGAAGAAGACTGGAATGAAAATCATCCTTTTCACTTCAAAAAGTCTGTAATTCTCTGCTACTCTGATTAGTTTAATGCTTGGATGGATAGCCCCTGCTCCCCCGAGTTAAAAGAGAATACCAACCAAAGATTTTTAAATTCATCATTCTGGTACCCCATGAAGACTTCCTGTTATACCACACAGGAGCTGAGTTGTTAAAAAATGGAAGAGAAAAAAAAAGCAGCTGTGATGGCATCGCAGGATAATTTACTGGGATGATAATCAGTTTGGTCTGTAAATAATATTTGGACAGGAGACATCACACCGTCTACACGAGTCTGTCATCAATGGAGTTCTGTGCTGATTGTAAAGCCGACGTGAGTCACCTCAGAATTTAGTGACACAGCCTGTGGATGTGTGTCTCGTAAAAACCTGTGCCGTCATTACCATCGACAGCTTGTGCTGCAGATCCAGGATGACAGGATGGATCGTTGTGTCTGCCTCTCGGCTTCAGGACGTTGTTGTTTGTGTTCGGAAGCGCTGGCTGGATTCTTCAAACACATCAGGTGGCACGTTTGTTATGACATGCACTGTAAAAAGCAGCATTACTGTCTGTCGCACTAAGATGACACAGTGCTGAGGAGATGCATCTGTAGATCCAAATTAAAGTCATTTGGTTAATTCAGCTCATCTTGTATTGATGATATTTGCCCACATTTTAAATAAAAGTTGGTTTTTTTTCACTGATCAGGAAGTGATCTATGATTTCTAGTTGGAAAAAGCACAACTACTTATGCTAAGTAGTTAGCATAAGAAGTGATACCTGAGGAAACTGCAAAGCTGCATCAACTGATTCCTTAATGCAGCACAACAACTGACAAATTATCCATTTGAAATGGTTGTTGTACTGCATGTGTTAGCTAAAGGCTTCCTGTTTATACATCCAGCAGACACGGAGCAGCATTAGCATGAATTTGGTGTCGTTTTCTGGCTGCATGAGGAATGCAACTCCAGTATATTCACTCTGCTGTAAGATCTTCAGCTGCTAGATGTTACATTTTATTCAGCTGCTAGATGCTAACTTTGTCCGCCGAGACTCGGTAAAGAAAAGTTTGTGGGCTTGAAAACCAAAAAACAATGAGCAAAAAGAGGTTAAAAAGCTCCGCTCTGTGTGGGACATGCAGAAAACAGACGCTCTAATATAATAGGCTACTATACAAACTGTTGGACTGACAGGTGACCTTTAAATGCAGTGCAGTTACACCGCAGCAGCGAGCGCCTGCCTTTGCTTCTGAGAGGAAAGAAAATTTGGGGATTGCTATTTCCTCATTTGATCATTTCAATTTATTTTCTTTTTCATGCTTTCACTTTAAGTTGAAATTCATTCTTGGCATTTGAATTCTGTGAGCCGAGCTGGAGCAAAGGCCGACAGACCGCTCACCTCCAATCTTACAAATGTGGGTAAGAAAAAATCCTCGGCCGCCCCTCCCCACCTGTTCACACCAGCCCAAAGGTTTGTGGTTGACAAAGCAGAGAGAAGTTGCCACCGCTCTCTGACTGCACCACTGAACCGGAATGTGATCCAGTGAGGAGAATCCAGACATTTCCAAATTTATTGTTGAATAAACTGGCAACGCCGAGAGCGGCTGACAGGCCATTCATCGTGACGGGCGCTGGCCCAATGGCGTGCGCGGACAGGGCTGCTGTGCTTTGATTTCCTGTCCTGGCCGCCATTGACGGATGAACTATGGAGAGGGTGGAGGCGACACAGACACTCACCACCACAAGGCTTCACCTCTCTGCCCACAAGTTCACCCACACTCAACGCCGCTTTCGAGGGCCCCCCCCCCCTTGGGGGTCACGAAGATGGAAGTGGTAAAGAGTTGGTGAAAACAGAGTCTTATACTCGCTGACAAAACAATCAAACATCAGAAGTAGATTTACAAACAGCGCTGACCGGTCACAGCAGCCGTTTGAAAGGAGCGTTTTTAGCAGGATTGGAAGATTAAAATTACAGATTAAAAATACTTCATTCTTAAAATTCAGCTCAGCGCCGGGAAGAGGAGTGAGCAACATGCAGAGAGTGTCAAAGCTCAAATCGTATCCAGAGGTTTTAACTATCGGGCCAAACCCGGGAGAATCTATTTACTCTAGGAATATCAAGGGTGGCAAAGTTCACAAGAGATTGATTGAGTGATTTAGTACAATAACACGCTAATGAGATCATTTTCTGTTGAAAATGAGTCAATAATGGCTGAGGGAGGAGGGGAGGAGGGAGGGGGGGGGCTGCTGTGGCTCCTCAGATAATATGCAAAGGCTTGAAAGATGGTTCAGTTCACGGGTGGCAATAAGAGGCTGGTGACAGTAGCATTCTGGGAGAAAACACTGCAAATTAGAGGCAGAGGGAGCACATTTCAGCGCACAGGCAGTTCATTTTTCACATCAGTGTCTACTTTTGTTCCCGGCAAGCTGCCAAAGACATTGATGTAGGCACTATCCCTCCTCCACAGCGGTAATTATGCTGCTGGCCAATGCTTGATTAAAAGATCTAATCTGCAAACTTAGTGTTCAACATCTCCCAACAAGTACCAGCGCTTTAAGCCTGTTCTCTGCGTCTCCGACTGCACTGGAATCCACAATGTTTTGTCGTGGACGGCAGCCAATGAAGTGCAGTGAAACATCCTTTTGCTTTCTATTCTGTGTCAGGGTGAAGGTGTAATTGCACCAGGCGATGTATTATTCACGAGGAAAGCGTGGCGTGGATGGATATAGCCTTTAACTGAGTGAAATCATCCAGCTCTGGAGGCAAAGGTCTGGCATTTTTTTTTTTTTTTTTCTGTCTGCACCAGGAATTAAAACAAGCAAAGTGTGCTGTTGCTTTTTTTCACCTGAAGCTCAATTGTGGCTTGACTAAATTATAATCCCAAAGAGCCTGCCTCATGTTGCAGCATCAGAACAGGAACAGATGATGAGGTTAGTTTGGAAACAAGGTTTACAACTATTCAAAATGAACTTCACACTTTAAACTGTCTCTTATAGGAAGATTACTGTGAAAATACGGTCCTTAATACACTCTTATATTACGGTGTTAGGGCCAGTAATGTCTCTGTACACTGTGCTCCCTGCAGGAATATTATTACAGAAACAACAAATCAGATGAAAGAAACAGCCCACGGTACAACAAGGTCACCATAAAACGACTAGTTATGAGCACAGACATATTACAAGTCCCCGTGTGGCTGTTTTATTGGACATTATGGGCCTTTTCCCACAGGACCACAGCATCTGACCACAGCATGTGCAGCTGCATCCCAATAAGACGCCCTGGGAGAGAGACAGTGGTGCCGCTGACAAAGTAATACATAGCTGTAAGTGTCCTTACCCTCTCTGAGCAGATGGGAGTAGATGAGCCAGAGGAGCAGCAGGCAGCAGAGTGACGCACCTCCACCTGCGGAGAGGGTCTTCACTCCAGACTGCATCCTACACCTTTAGCCTTTTAGATTATCCAAACTTTGAACGCTCGTGCCGCTTAGATGTCAAGCAGATCAGGGCAAGAGTGGCTAATCCAGTGGCGTCTCCACAGCCTGTCGTCGGCATCCATTTTGAGGTTATAATAGGAGAGGGACTGATAGTAATCCCCCCTTTGCTTTTCAAATTCCCTCGGTGAGCCGCATATCCATCCAGGCTGCTCAGCGCGCGCACACACACGCACACACACGCATACACACACACACGCACGCACACACACACACACACACACACACACGGAGGCTACAATGTCACCAGATCTGGCCAAGTTTACGCAGCTGTGGTTTCAGGAGCTGGAATTCACTGTCTGGCTTCTGCACACACCAAAAAAACTGTTAGTGTGAAGATGAAGAGGAGTGAGCAGCAGCAGTCTCCCGCAGTTTGGATCCTCACACGGAGATGCTGATGATGCTGGTAGTAAATTCAGCCACTAAACACCCTCTGAACGCCGCCGTCGCCTCTTTCTTTCCTCCTCTGCGCTCCGCACTCTTATTCTTATTATTCCCAAACAACTTCTGCACCGATGCCACTGTGCGCTGCGCGACTCTACGGAGAAACGCGCAAGTTAAACCCAGGCGGACATGACGAGCACACCAATCAGCACGGAAACTTGTCCGAAAAACGCATCACTCCAGCGCCCGAAAAACCGGCGTTAGAGAGAGAGAGAGAAAAGAAGAAGAAAAAAAACAGCTACTGGCGCAAATGCGTCATATGTGGCCACATATGCACGAGCGGCGCAAGAGGAAATGTCACGTCAAAAACAAGAGCGGCGGATCTCACGCAGCGCACCGCCGCTGGACAGAAACGCACTTCTGCGCGCGTCAGCGCAGGCGGTGCGGTGAAGTTGGCCACTCTTGTCACCTGTATGAGCCTTTGTGGAGGCTCTGGAAGATTCTCAGTGCTGATGCCTGGCTCCGCGGGCTCCGAGGAAAAGCTCCCTTCCTCGCAAAGTCAAATGCTGGTAACAGATGAGCGTGTTAACCCAGTCTTACTCTGTCCCCGGACGGCTCCATTTGCTCTGAGGCGACACGAACAAGAGGGACCCCCCCCCTTCAATCCATGGAAGGAAACGCTGCTGCTGCTGTTGCTGCTGCTGCTGCTGCTGCTGCTGCACACCGAGTTGCCTTGAGTTACAGTGTTTCCATCTGCTCTCTCTCCCTCGCTCTCTCTCTCTCACAGACACACACACACATAAACACAGTGTCCCAATTCCCTCCTCAAAGTGGGGGGAAAAAAAAACTTTGAGCTCTCAGGCTATAAATCCCAAACTGAAGATGATGATGCTTATTTATACACATGGAGATGTCCCGTCTCAGCCCACAGGGAGAGGCGCAGCAGCACCAGGCTCTCCACATCCTGACATGTTACTTCTCTCCATGTCTTTATGCCCTCTTCCGTGGGCGGAGAACGCCCTTGAGGGGCTGCATGGTCTGGGGACTACAGTTACCATTTAGCACACTAGCATTCTGGGAAAATGGTGAGACGTTTGCTCCTTTCAGAGGCCTGGTGTTACAGGGCCTCAGAACTCTTTACAGCAGAAGTTACATTATTATATACTGCAGTAATATCACATCAAGTCTCAAGTGTGCACACATAGGGGCACATGCTTCCCTGAGCGTGTGTGTGTGTGTGTGTGTGTGTGTGTGTGTGTGTGAGAGAGAGAGAGAGAGAGAGAGCGCTAAAGCTTTACAGATGCCAGTCTGTCTTCTGAAAGAGCACCATTTAAGACTCCCCTGCCACTCGAGGACCAGCACTATAACTCATTCCCATCTCTCTCTCTCTCTCTCACACACACACACACACACACACACACCAGATTCCATGACCAGTGAATGTGCACTTTATTAGCAGATGGAGAAGTTCTCCCAATGCGCTGCTGTGCTATGAGCCTTTCACTGAACGGCTTTTATGATGACGTATTAGCCCGGGCTGAGGCCTGTCACATTATCAGTGTAATGTGTGAAGAATTACTCTCACTGCAAAAGGACTATGCATTTTGTTGAGTATTAAAAGGGATACCATGTGGATTATTTCCTGCCACACCGGGGGCAACCGTATCTTTAAACTCAGCTGATGTTTTTTCTCTTGCATCACGGAGACCGGCTGCAGCAGTTTACGTACGTGGCCGACTGTGGGAGAGCTACAGGGAGAGACGAAGGTCTGTTCTCTGCTGAAGCTCGGCTCAGCCAGCTATCACAGTTAAGAGCCACGTTTCAGTCTGTGTGAATGATGTCCCAGCAGGGGTTGCAGTGTAATTAATCATAATCCATCACTGTGACTGACAGGGTTGTAAAAATTCGTTGCCTTTTTTTTTTTTTTTTTTAATACATACAGGATGTTTGAAGCACACACTTTATAACTGTCGACCACATGTGATCATATCAAAGATTGACATTGATGCTTCTGTGTTCTGTGATCAGATCAAACATATGTGGTTTTTGCCCGGGGGCTGAAAGCAACTAAGTACTGTAGTTAATTACGGCTACAAGGTACTTGCATTTAATTAAAATGTCTTCAAATGTCAACGTATGAACAGCTTATATAATGTGCAAAGACACTGACCGTTGGATGAGAAGATCAATAAATATAAAGCTAAAGCTAGCAGCCAGCTAACGTCATTTAGCATAACGACAGGTAACGACCTGTCTCTAAAGCTCTTATCAACACCTGGTGTCCCGTTTGTTTATGAAGGGGCCTTCTTCTGTTACCTTTGGAAGGAGCTGCTTTCCCGTTTCCAGTCTTAATGCTAAGCTAAGTTAGCCGACTGCTGGCTGCAGCTTCATATGTACAGTAGAGTACAAACAGTAGAGTTGGAAATAAATGAAGATTTATTTACGGCTAAATGTCTATAAGCGACTGAATAAATGACGTATCAATAATGAACATACAACAAAGAGGCTGTGATCAGACGCGGATAAAGCTGACCTTTGAATGAACTGATCACTTAGTTTGGCAGCAGCGAAAAAGAGCACTGGGTTTGGAGTTACCAGACAACAGTGGTACAACTAGGGCAACAACAACTTCTCCAGGACTTAGAATCAATAATTCAGAGTACAGTCCGACATCAACTCTTTCCACAGCAGAAATAAAGTTTATTTTACCTTTGGCGGCTTCGTCCTGGGGCCGGCGGCTTCCAGTTGGACCTGGTGTAGATAAGTTGGTGCCGGTTTAACTTGCTGCCCTCCCAGCTAGGATGACGCTCCCCGGGGTGAAGAGGTTGCCAAGCAACGGGGGCCGTGCAGCGGTGCTTCTCAGTTTATCCGGCAGGCTCCCTGCAGGGTGGACGGAGCAGATGTTGATGGTAGATGATGGTAGATGGTGCAACCTCTGCTGGTCTCTCAGCCTGTTGTTAGTGTAGTCAGATAGACTCTGCTACACTCACTTTCCTTAACCAGACTTGAATAGTCTTGAAAGTAATTTCGTTGGCCTGGCAATAAATCTTCCAAAAACACCATCAAGGTTAAACTTGTTGAGGCACAAAAAATAAATATTTTTTTTTAAACTTCGGCTCATTCAGTTTGGTATAGAGCTACAAACTCAGGTTTGTTTCAGCAATGGATAAATAAATAAATAAAAATTAAATTGTGTGCAGCTTAAAAAAGAAAACAAGAGGCTTGGTGAGCAGTTACAAGAAAAGGAAAAAGAAACAGAAGCTCAAAACAACTCAAATGAAATGGGAAAAAACAAAATGAAAGAAAGAAATAAGAAAAAGAAAAATGCTAGATCAATTTATCACCCATGAATTCTGGCCGGAGAACTGGCCTTTTGTGCCCGAGTGGCAGTTGATTTTCCTCTTGTGATATATAAAAGTTTCATTTTGTTGAATGCAGCTTTTTTCATTGTTCCGAGAGCACATCACCGGGTCTTGGCCTTTTTCGTGAGATTCACAGCCGGGGTTCCTCCGAAAGGTCGTAAAGTGAGTTCACGTCCTGCTGTTAATTTTGTTATCAGGACAAAACACTGTCCTCTTCAGGTTGGAGAAGTCTGGCCCCAACGTCTGACCAGTGGAGTTTCTGATTCAAACGCACTGTGTTAAACACACACGTGACACTTCGTTAACGTCATTAGTAACACCTTTGCTTTTCATAAGAAGGGTATCCGACATCTATAGATCTGACTATATAGAATGTAGATGGTGCACATATGCTTTTATAACACTGGAGGTTCAGGCCGCAGCACTTTGCTCGCTGGCTCTTCAGTGCAGAGGGAGTTCCCATGTGACGACAGACGACTGAAAGCCTCCAGAGGTGAATCAAGAAGAATCAAAACAAAACCAGCAGAAACAATAGAGCAGTTGATCAAGTGTCTCTGTGACCTAATTACATTTACATGTTTTCATTTGGCAGCTGCTTTTGTCCAATTGTGACAAAGAACCGAGGTTCAGTCCAAGTCAGAGCAGAACAAGTGAAAGCCTTCGAAATGACAAGTTTTAAAATGATTATCATTATGATTTTTATTATTATCATTATAAGAGAGAGAAGAAGAGGTAGATTTCAAAGAGACTTGATTCAATATGTGTGAATATAGAATATATTAGTTGCTTTGGTTCTGCAGCGTTTGTCTGACTGTAGAGAGGGAGGTCAGAGGTCTGGGTCTGTACAGCCATAGATCTGATGAGACTCAGTGTCTTCATCAAGGACACTTCAGCTGGGACACAGTGGTTTGATCCTGATCAAACTCAAACTACGAGTCTGGTTCATATTTTTTACTTTCCTAAAGCTTCAATTGCATATTGCAGCTAATTTTCTGTTTCGTTAATCATCCCTGTTCCCAGCGTTTCACATAAACACGCTTTTACTGGAACAGGTGGAGCATTTGTTACAGTTAATTGCGACATTTGTCAAATCATTGGGGGGAAAAAAAAGAAAAGAAAAAAGAAGCAAATCAGGACCCGCCGCATTTATGAGCGTGGGCATTAGCATAAGCAGGCGATGTGATTTGTTAGCTTATATCAAACTGAGACAGGCCACATCCACATGGACACACAACTCCAGTCCTCGGTTTCCAGCCACCAGCTGCTCACTGGCTTTGCCTCCGTGCTGCAGAGGAGCACGTCGGGGGATCAAATGGACCTTCTGCAAAATATCTGCGTCCTGCGTAGTCACCAAGAGACGTCCACCAACAACACTTTAAAGTTGTGCTTTTGTTTTTGCAGCAGGAACTTAAATGCTCCACAGAAAAAAAAATCTATCTGCTGAGTAAAAGCACTCAGTGCCACTGGGCTTGAAGGGTAGCTCTGAAAACTTGGTATCTTGCTCATTTACTGAGGACACCAGCTGTTTTCTGCTTGGATTCACAGCGGTTCCAATTCCAGTGTTGGGCCAACCTCAGAGTGGGGAGAAAAAAAAGAAGAAAAAAAAACTGACCAAAATGTCACAGAGACGTCGCACCCCACTCCTGCAGCATTACCTCCTCCTCCACTGAGCCTCTGTGTGCCCGCTATGTTCACTGATATTCAAAAACTGACATTTTCACCACCAAGTTGGCAAAACACAAAGCGTCCATGGAGCCAAGCCACTAACAAACCAAACCTTTATTTAGTCAAAGTCAGAATGTTTGAGCGTAAAGACAAACGACTGAGAAGTTATGCTTT